TGCTGTCCCCCCGCCGCCTGTCCGCGGTGCGGTGCAGCCTGCTCTGGGTGACCCTGCTTCGGCAGGGGGTTGGGCTGGATGACCCACAGAGGGCCGTTCCAACCCTGACCATTCTGTGATTCTGTGATTCTGTGATTCTGTGATTCTGTGAGTGTGGTCTTCAAATACATTAAAGAAGTGTCTGCAGGTGTGGCAGCCACGTGCAAGAGAAGAAATTGGAAGAAAGTAAAAGCGAGTAAGTACTGTAGGAGAAGATGGTGGACATAGTAAAAACCGGATGAAGATAAAATGAGTGTTCAGTTAGAAAGACAATCCTAGTGTAAATGAGGAAGCTGTGCAGCAGCGTAGTGCTGTGTCAGTATGGTAGGCATCATAGACACTGTTGAAACAAGATCCTGCCTCTGAACGACTGTACATCTGTATCTGGGATTAGTCTTCCAAAGTTTCCAAGATAAACGTCATGGCCGCCCGTTAGCCATACTTCTACTGTCTTTCATCAGGTGAGATCATCTACAGAGCAGGTTACATGAAGCACCGTTTCAGTCCCTGTCACAAGGGTATGTGGCACAGTCAGAGCTGCCATCACCACTGCGTATACTGCCTTCAGTTAGACTGCTGAGGAGCTGTCTCCCATAGTACAGCCAGAAATATCTCTTAAGACTGGGACAAATCCTGCTATGAAATGACATGTTGTATCCCGCCAATGTGGAATCCGAATCTGTAATTTCCTACATTGTGGGAGGATTTGCTATTTTATACAATATAGTCCTTTTGATAGCCTGTTTTGATGTACAATGGCTTAGTTCTTTTCTAGATTCTAAGTGGCTCCTGAATGAAAAAATAGCATCTACCCACACACAGATGGAAATCACTAATCAGAGCAAATCTTAATCCAGTCTGTTTTTCATTGACGTGAACTTTTTTTTGTGCTATGCTATATTCTAGGACCATACCACACAGGAGAACTTGAGTGAAACACCCGAAGTCACAGAAGATACCAGCAGTAGCAGTGATAAAGCAGAAGATAAAATCCCATCAGAAGCTATGCTACATTTACTGCAAAGTGCTTTTAGCAGACAGATGGCTCAGAAGCGACTGCCAAAGAAGACTGCAAGTGAGAAGCTAAATATTCCATATGAACACTTCTATCAAGCCCTCGAAAAACTAAACAAGCCCTCCAAGTTGAGAGACTCAGAAGAAAGTCTGTACAGTGACTACGTTGATCTTTTTTACAATGCCAAACCATACAAGCATAGAGATGATAGACTCCTGCAAGCTTTGGTTGATATTATAAATGAAGGAAACTAAACTATAGGGTATGGCAATGAGTTGGAAAATTCATTCTCCCCACCTCACCTGTATTTTTTTTCAGAAGTGTGTTGTATTCTCTAGTTGTGTGATTGCTGCTTTGATTGCTTCATATTTAATACAAATACTAAGGAAGGGGATAAAAAACGGGTGTGGGAGGATAAGGCAGTAAACTGATGCTTTTTAGTAATAGCTTTTTTCAAAGCCTTTCTTCATTACCATCAGAGTAGATTTTTCCCCTCAGGCACGAAATGCAATAGTATTCCCCTGAAAATCCTAATGCTCTATTTTAAACAATTTTTATGTTACTTATTCTTCCTCCCTATTCACTTAGCGTGCAGTAGGATTCAAAACCTGAATTACCAAGCAGTTTTGAACTGAACTGCCAAAGCTGTGGGGAGATACTCTTATCTCCGGATTTGTAATCAATATTACATCCTTTCTTATATTTGCATTTATTCCAGATTTAACACTTGCAGCCAGTGCTGCTTCCATCATAGGTTTTGTGTTCCTTCTCCAAGCAACAATGCTCCTTTACCCTTCTGTTCTCCTGTAACGGAGCAGCTGGGAGGCTGGGGATGGAGTGGAGCATCAGTGAACGCTGATGGTTATTCATGATTTAGACTGCAGACGTAAAAGAGCCCCAAATGAGGAATCCCAGACATGGGATGGCATTCTCACCACCTGACTTTAACTACCTAAGTGAAGTGCCTGAATTATGAGCCTAGTCTTGCTAGGTTGTAAGTAGTTAATGAAGACAGAGACTCCTGTAGATAGTGCTTTGGAGCGCTTGGCTAGTCTTTATAGTGGTTCTGAGTTATCTGATCTGTTTGTATTGACTCTGAGAGCTTTGGGGGACCAAGCTCTTATCTATGGAACCTCAGTTACATTTCTGAAGTTGAATAATATAAATGCCTTCTGAGATGCCGATGTCTGCAGTGGTGAGGACAGCAAAGCTGAGATCACTTTGTCCTTTGCTTGAACTGTGACCAAAGCGAAACAGAAAGGACAATTGTACCAGCAAAGTCCACTTCAAGACTGGGTCTTGGAGTATCTGTGGTAGATTAGAACATTTCATAGAATCATAGAGTCATTAAGGTTGGAAAAGACCTCTAAGATCATGAAGTCCAACCATCATTTCCCAAATACCTAGGAAGCTAAGGCAAATGGATGGGGAGGAGTCTGAGAGAAAAAAAAATACCCCGTGAATGGACTCAGAAATGGGGGCAAGAGCCCATGGGATGTGGAGGAGGGAGAGGAACAGAAGGAAGGAGAAGGTGGAAGAAGAGGAAACAGAGGTGGTTGTCAGGAACGCAGCAAGGGCGGGCGGCTCCCCAGTGTTAGCAGTGTACTAGACAAACCGTTTTCCACACATACCCCTTTAAAGTCAGAGTCAAGATTGACATACTATCTTACTTTTCATAATGAAAAAATAATAATGCAGTGTTGGATGCTCAGAAATTAAAGGGGATCTAGAACAAAGAAACAAAGATTCCCAGGGGATAATTATCCCACTGCAGTGCTAAAGATAACCCAAACAAGTGCTGACTGTTTTGTTACTTTTCTGTCTCTCTCATGTAGTACTGAAATGTGTTTTCCAGACATTCTAGAAATAGTTGATTGTCCTTCACTGTCTATTCCTTAAAAGTATGTGAGTGCCTGCAAGACAGGAGTTCATTATTTTGGTCATAATTCATCAGTTTGGATAGAAATTTTTCAAACTTCACACTAAATTCTGTAATTTAAAGGTAAATCTATTTTCTGTAACAGTACTCAAGTCTGCTTTGATAGAAAAAGGGACTGCTTAAAGACAACTTTGAAAAGTGTCTTACCAAACCTAAAATTTAAAAATCTCTGCTTACTCATTCTTTGTGATGGTTTCATGCCTGTCTTGGGCCTAGTCTGCTTTTGCCAGCTTTAGGTTGATTGAGCTTAGTTGATTTGAAGAATTCTTCCCTGATTCTAGTTCATACTTCAAAGATAACAACTCCACCGTTGGATGTCTCTTATACCGAATTGCTGCCTCTCTACTAAGAAATTTGCTTAGGATGAGAAGTGATTAAAAAAAAATCCCTGCAAGTGGTCCAGATCAGAAAACTTACTTGTGCTGTCCCTTCAACACACAAGTGTTCTGGCAGTACGTAACTACTGAAAAAGCAAAATGTAAAAATTTCTAATTGCTGATATTGCAGAGTGACAGCACTAACTTATTTCCACTAATGTTTGGTTTTCAGAATTAGGAGTTAATCTCCATGATAAATATTCCCGTCTGGTGAGGCAGGGCCACTTTTAGCCCAGTGGAATGAAGCTCAGAGGCTGATTCCCTCAAATAGCAGCGATTTTAGCCAGTCGTCATCCAGGTATGTTACAGCAAGGAAAGTACTAGTAACTTATCAGCCCCTGAAGTTTTCAGGTTAAACAGGTGGAAAACAGGACCCTCCTTGTTTTAAGATCAGTTCCCATGTTGTAGCCAAAGTTTCATCAGAGAACAAGTTTAAAATCTGTCTTTTGAATGTTTCCAACCCAGACTAGATTGTACAGGAATAAATTATTTTTATTGTTAGTCTTTCCTTGGTGCCTGTGTGGGTTTTGTGAAAAACGTAAAAGGAAAAAATGTTTTCTCTCAGAATTTTAGATTATATTTTCGTTACAGGTATTTATAATATAGCAAAGATTTTATTGAACAGACAGAATTTTAAAAGGCATAATAAATTGTATTAAAGAACCAGATTTTTCTTGGGAAAGAGACAATTTCATCCAATAAAGGTATTTTTTAAAAGGCATGTTCAAACAGCAACTGCAACATGTATGTGATATGATGTTAAAATGTGTCTACTAGTAGCATAATACAGTGTGTTAGCAGAGCTCAGCGTGTGTGGTGTTAACATTTGTAAAGAAAACACGAAGATAACATCAAGACATTGACTTAAAAGGACCGGGAAATACAGTTTAGAATTAAAAACAGCGGCTTGAGGGAGTAACAGGGGGTTGGGTGGAGAAAATGTGTAATTTCTTGGAGGTGAAGACCTGCAGAGGATTTCCTCACCAGGATCGCTGGACTCTGTCCTTTTCGCAGCTGCAGCCGAAGTAAGATTTGCCGCGGACGTCAATGGCAGCAGCACTGTCTCTAATTCAGACCCAGTGGCGCTGAATTACAAAATTCTGCGTAGTTCACATACGGACGTGTGTGAGTAGCACTATAATGAAATAATACAGCAGAATGAGTCAGGGGGTGAAATGAAATATGCAGGTCTTCATTTCTTTGCGTCAGAGCAGCAGCCATTAAAATGTTTGTTGGTTTTTTCCACCCCACTACTCTTATTTCAAGCCGGTAAAGAAACAAGCCCTTCTGTTACCCTTGATGTACTGTCATTAGTTGTGGGGAACTGGTTGTTGGGGTAGCTGTCTGCTGATCCGTGCTGAGAAGCAGGCTCTGTGGGCACCATTTCGCTGTGCGCACGGTCTGGGGCGTTCCCTGGGCTGCTCTAACTGTGCTGGTGCCCAGATGTGACCAGAAGATGCAGCCGTACCTGCTCCCACTGTCAGGCTGAGGGGATGTCGTGTTTGATCTGGTTCCAAAGCTGTAACTACTTGAGGACTTACGGATCGTGCTTACACTCATAGCTTGCTTCTCAAGTCTCAGCTAACTACTGCTCAGTTAACAAAACCTGCTTTGTCAGATGCTGTAAGGATGATTAAATCTTCTCCTGTGCTTCCAGTAAGCTACATTTCCATAGCAGAAATAGTTCTAGTAAATGTGCATATAAAACAGATTTCTGAATTAGCTTAAGGAAAGAAATCTAGGTCTGCATTCAAGCACTAATAACTAGCTTCCACACAAAACAATGGCCTTTCTCTTGAGTTGGCTTGCTTTTTAAATGCCAGGTTGCATTTAAACTTTCTACCTTTAGCTGTGCTGAGCTATCTAGCAGAGTTTCTGGTCAGTCGTGTCTTGTAGCTCGAAACTGGGGAGTTTAGTTTTCAAAAGAAGTGTGCTCTTCCTTACCTCTCTCAAAGTCACCTCAATCTGAAAACAATCATAAGCGTTGTCGCTGAAAGAAAATTATTTCAAAGGAGAAAATGGGACTTCACAAATACATACTAGTGTTTTCTTCATATCGGAAATTAGGAGTGGACGTAGTTTGCTTACGAAAAGAGCATGCCTGCAGGGAGGGGAAACATCTGAATGTTGCTGATGAGCTTTTGCGAGTCTTACGAGCGGATGACACGGGAGGTGACAGCCGTGCTTCACTCCGTGTGCGTCAGAGCAACGGGAGGAGCAGCGCTCTCCCTCCTGCAACAGCAAACCAACCTCTGCCCCTGCAATTTTCCAAACGCTACAAACCTGAGGAACGTTGAGTCCAGAATTAGTTCAGCTCTGAAAACAATGGTAGTTTAAAAATTACAGGAAAAAAACGGTCATTATTATGCAACACCACTTTTGTGTTTATGCGAATATAAAATATCTGCACAGCTGAAAGCCTTTTAATCAAGTCTTTCCTTCCAGGAAGTCCATTTCCAGAGCTCCTAGGAACCACGACGTTCACAACAGCGTGTTAGAAAGGGACAACTCTAGAAATGTGTATTTTCCTCTGAATCAGCTACTCAGCTAGCTAATATTTCTGACTGCAGGCTGAAAAGGCTCAAAATCCAACCCTGCTAGGCGCTAACAGAGATCGTTCCAGTAAACATTTTTCTATTTAATGACACAAGTACTCATTAAAAATATCGCTTCTCTTATTGCAGTTTGTGAGGATAAGATAACCAGAAAGAATGAGAAATCTTGCTTCCAGCAAGGCAGTAAATGCCCAGTGGAAAAAAATAGGTCAAATGTGTTCCAAGTTCTGCTGAGATACCAGAGAAAAATAAATAGATAGTATGTGAATATGGGTAGTTATCAGGAAAATATATCTTAGTGGTTACCTAATTTGAGCTGTTTGTCTGCTTCCAATCAAATGTAGCTGAGCCTATATCTCTCTCTTTCTGATGTATGCTTGCCC